TATCACTAGGTATACTAACTTACAGCACCAGCAGCCTCCAGGGTTCTTACCCAGATCTAGATTGCAGTACTCCCTTGTGGAACTGCCAACCAACGACCATCCTATCAGCAGAGCCCAGACAGCTCCAGTCCTTCAAGGAAAAGTGCAACAAGTATCTGCTCCACCTGAACTGGCAAACAGCCACCGACGCCCTATGAAACGGTTTAGACCAGCGCCTCACTAGCATCCTCCCTCCCTCCTCACCACAATGTGATGTTATCTCCTATTTTACTTCTCTAACGACCATCTACCCATTGTACTTGTTCCTCACTATTATTCATTCCCCTTCCTCCTCCCCTCTTCATGGCTTTACTGTATTATGGCGCCCTTTGTCTGCGTAGACGCCGAGACCTTTTTAAGGTCGGCAGAGCAGCCTGACCCCGCCACCACTTCTAGCATATATTCGGGAATATAGTGGACTTTCGTATAAAAAAAGTGACCCTCCGTTTCCAGCGCGACAAACACCTCGTGTGCTCCGGATGGCAGTCGTGAGTCACTGAAATGAGATTCAAGTCCCAAGGGAAAGCGCGAGCGCCCACGTAGGGAGCGACGCACAATTCCCTAAGTATCGTCGAAGTCGCACCAATCACTTAGTCACATAGTTTTTGTTTGCGGAAAATATCGGTTTGAGCCTGGTCAATGCTGAATACTTGTCAAGTTCTAAGATCTACATGTATACTAGATGTTCGGCACTTTGTGATGGTATATTACAAGGCGCTTTCAAATACATGTACAGTTCAGAGACCCTTTTCGGAAGAGTTACTTCTACCCTGCTCCCACTTCCATCCAATATGCCACCGCCCCCGATGCGCGGCATCTGATGGTTCTGTGGTAAAATATAAGAAGAAGAAAGTTTATAGTAGGTGGTACCACGAGCTTGTTTAAAAGTACACTTTAACGGGACATCCTATGCAATTAATTCTATTTAACCGCGAAAGGAACAAACTGCTTCTACGACAGGAATCACGCCAGTAATGCAAACACACGCTCGCCACGGCCTCTTGGAGGTCTGGTTTCGTTGGCAATAATACATACTTCAGTAACAGCACATGTTGTAAAGTAGAAAGGTGGTGTGGTAAAAGTGGGTAATTTTTCTTTGATAACAATAGCAAGTACTGAAGTAGTATACCCGATATTTGCCTTAAGGGGGATACATGTGCATGTTCCTTGGTCAAGTACATGTACATGTACATGTCAGTTTGATTTTCGCCATTATACATGTATGCGCATGGCCCACAGCTAACGTCAAAGGGGATACCCACGTATCGCCACACATGATTGTGTTACTGAAAGTGCATAACCCTAAGTGAGTTATGTGCTCTTGGTGTTAGTTCTGAGAGGTATACAGTTTGGGTGCAAAAAACTGTGATTTTTGCATCCACCTGTACACGTTCTTCGCCTGCCCAGGAATGCAGTACTGAGTATGTTCCGGAGTGAGTTATGTTGTTGCCTGCGCCTATTGCCCATGTACATGTATAATGTTCAGGGCTGACGCGGCGCACTTAACTCTTAACGTTACAATGTAGCCAGCTGTGTGTGATATGTGGTGGGTAGCGGAAAGTTTATTGTATTAAATTTATGGACACCATTCCCGCACACCATCAGTCACCGCGGATATCACATCATGCAATCCAAGTACCTGCATTGTAGATGTGTTTCAAAGAAACAGCTTCGGTGTACCCTTGGAATTCCTACCTACATGTTGATGTCATTTCGAATGCAGATTTTTCATGTATTTGCTGTCACTGGTCAGTACTCTGTATCTGATATTGCTGTCCAACATGGTCAACATAGTGATAAATGTCACCCTTCTGATGCATTCTTTTCTTCCGATTATCATCGTCTTTCCTTCTTTCTTTCTTTTTGTCTTTTGCCATGGCTGGCTAACGCCACCTCCTTTGCATCGACTTTTGCCAGTGGACGGTGAAATAAAAAAAAATAAATAAAAAAATTTCACGGTTCGCGTGAGACTCGGCGAAAGGCCCAGTTTTCCGCATCCGCAGGAACGCCACCACCCTCTTGGATCAAGGCGCAGATGCAGCTCCTAAGCGGTGGGAGGTGAGTAGATCAGACCCACCACAAAGTGGTCAAAGACCGAAATCCCATTCACTGCATCCATGTTTCCCTCGTGCCAGGCCACGAGTTCCCAATTAACTATGGGTCGCAGCACGGCTGGAAAAAATCCTTCCGCTGCCAAGCAGGACTTGAACCTGGTACCCTCTGTTTCTCAATCATGGTCTTAGACCATCCCACTATGCCTGCCTGTGAAATAAAATAAAAAATAAAATAAAATATGGCCAAGCGTGGAAGCTGTTATGGATATATATTACGCCAGCCCAGTGATATCCCTGCCAATGCTGATCTCACTGCTTTCTGTGCATATGCTACCAATCAGCCCTTTCGAATAGGATCACCCCACTCTTGTTTCACCACAAGCCTCCAGCGAGACGTCCGCCTCACACCTATAGTGATGTATAAACCCAGCTGCCTTCGTGATCTCGACAGTTATGCCTGCGACAGAAAACAATGGAGTAACACCTGCTCAGCCATTTAGTGTAGTACTGACCGCTCTTCTTAAAATTTAATGTGACCTTTATTATTAGACTTTCTTTTGCTTTTTGTTTTCCCACTTTCACACACATGCTGCCAGTGAAATCTGCCTCCGTGAGTCCCATTCGGGACGGATATGAGAATAATAATAATAATGATGCAAGTACACATTTAGTAGCCATGAAGAAGCTGAAAGCTAGGCTGGTCGTAATAAAAGTCAAGATTGTGTGGTGTATAACTTGCTACACTCACACATTACTGTGTTTTACATCCCCCTTTGTTCCCGACCAAGATTAGACTTACGTAAACTCAGTATTGGCAACTACCCATCCATCAATAATGTTTTCGCTTCATTATGAACCCATTACACGATCATTCGTCCCCAGGCGTTTGGAGCACGTCTAGATCCGAACAAACCATGCTGTTGTTGTTGTCCCTGTTGCTGATTTTATTTTGTAACTGCGTATTAAAATTCGCAGTGACCAAACGTGCAGAGGTGCTCAATAACAAGGAAGCGAATGAAGGTGACAAGCAGCACGATGGGACTTAAAACCAGAAAATATTAGACAATGGGGAGGGAGTAGGTGGTGTCTGGTCCGAAATGGACAATGAGAGCTCTGATACCGAGAGGCAAACATTTAGGTGGGAAATATATCAGAGGCTTGAAGATCATCATGTGCCATGAAAAGAAGCTGCAACCACTAAGAAAGCTCAGTCTTAAATTAAAATAGAAGAAATCACAGGGAAAATGAGCTATGAAGCAAGTCGTGGATAGTGGCTTCATAACTCGTTTCCATGTGACTTCTTCTATTTTAATTATACTTATTGGCTCAGTATCCGAGTTAAATCCTGTATAAATGATTGTTTAAAAGACCGGCTTTCAGGCATAGGAGCAGAATGCAGAGAGACGGACAGCCCAGCCAACAGAGTAACCGGCAGACCAGTGAAACTAAAGATACATGCATGAGAGGACGGCTAGAACACAAGGAAGGGGAGGGAAACAAACAGTGCGAGGTCGCGTAGAGACAGTCTGACAAGAAGAGAGAGAGAGAGAGTTTGTGTGTGCATGTGTGTGAGGTGATGGGAAAGACAGAGAGACAGACAGAGAAAATGGTGGACGGGCAAACAGATAGACAGAAATAGAGATAGATAGATAGATAGATACCGGTAGATAGACAGGGAGAGAGAAAGAGAGAGAGAACGTGGGAGATACACAGGGAAAGTGACAGGGGTGTAAGCAGAAACACAGACAGACAGGCAGCCTGAGAGACAGACAGATCAAGCTAGGGTGTGAGGAGTACACTGTATACAGATATCATCCGCAGCGCCCGTGGCAGGGCGTTCCACCTGGAAGCACCACTGGAAGAGCAGCGCGCTGTCCCAGCACGGCTGCGTGAGTGAGGAATGATCACTGCTGGAGCCGGGATTGCGACTTTGTCTGCCCAAACAAATTTTCCAGCAGGACAGATGCAGTGCCATTGACACAGCGTCGCACGAAGCGCAGCACGAAGCAGAGCATCTTGTGGCGGAACAGTTCCAGCAAAATATATAGGGGCGATGCACCAAGGAGAGGGTGGGCATGTGGAGGTTCACCATACACAGCCTTGACAGCCCGGTTTTGAAGCTTCTGTAGTAGCTCCAGGTGATGTTGGTGGAGTGCACTCAAAAAGTAATTTGAGCCATACATGATTTCTGGCATGATCACAGCACATGCTGTCATTGCAATGCCATGGATATTATCATGGAGATTGTTCGCTCGTCCCACCCGTTCCGAAATTATATCCATCCGGATACTCACTACTAGGAGATGTCCGTCAGTCCAAAAAACGAAATGGTATGCAACGAACAATACCATGGACCAGCTAAGACGATTTAAAATTGCTTTGAACATACAATGTAGTACCAGCATACCGTATAATAATAATAACACAGATACGCGTACAACATGAACAGTCGTGCTATACATGCTTCCGCTGCTGTTCTCTAGCTCTGTACAATATAATTATGTACATGTATGTCAATATCCGGCAGTTGTGGCGAATCCTTCAGATTATCTGCCGCCATCCATTGCGATCCGCAGCAAACTATCCCACGTCGTCCAGATGGCTTCGGCTCGAGAGGCCCGGCTTGCGACTGCTGAGCAGGTCTTGGTTCAGGGTGCCGACCAGCGACGATCTGGGCCGGCCCTTGTGCCCACGTTGCTGTGGGGTGAAGTACCCACTCGTGGCTTGCTACGCTGGGGTGTCCGGCGAGAGTCGCAGTGCATGCCCCAGCATCCGCATACGTGCCTAGTATACCGTATGCTCCCTATTATAAGCCCTAGCAGAACTGCTTCCTAGTCAGTCGCTTGATTTCACTCTAGGTTTCGGTGCTTCCCCGTGTCCCGTTCGGTGATTTTAAAAGAGGCAGAAATGGCGACGAAGGAAAAGATTTCTCAAGTTGCACGTCTGTACAAAGATCATTCCAGCGTGCAATACGAGATTGGCCAAGACCTTATAGCATCTCACATGCGACCTTTTCCAGGCCAAACCGTCTTGGACTTGGGCTGTGGCACGGGGAGTTTGGCAAGAAACATCGGAAGCGCTGTGGCAAAGCAAGGACGCGTACTGGGCGTCGACCCCAACACTGAGAGGATAGCTGTTGCTAGGGAGGAAGAGCGACATTGTTCCGAATCTCATCAACGTAACGTGAAGTTCATGACTGGTCTTGTTCATGATGCCGTGCAACATGGACCGTTTGATGCCGTCTTCTCCAATTTTGCACTTCACTGGGTACCTGAAGACGACACGGATGCCAGTGTGTCGAGTATCGTCAAATGCCTGAAACCTGGAGGTCGTCTCTGCGCTACTTTGACACGTGGCACAGGAGGCTACGCAAACCAGCTCTCTCTTTTTGTCAATGGAAGATCTGAAGAATCCGCTACTGGTATGCACCTGCGGCCGCTTAACTACTGGACGAGCAAATTGAAACAAGCTGGTCTGTGCATTGAGCACGCGGAGCAAGAAGAGGACACCACGGGGAAATTCCCTAGCATTCGCAGCTATTTCGAGTTTGTCAAAGCCTACACAGAAGCTGCGATTGATTACGAGAGCGTCAATGCAGACGACCTAGCCGATTTCATCAGCAATCAAGGACTGGGCTCCTTGGACTCGCCTTTTGTCTGTGTTGCTACCATCTTGACAATCATTGCGTCAAAGCCGTCATTGGAGCACTGAACTGAACTCTACTTCATCAAAATCAACTTGTTGTTCGGCCTAAGGAATCATTTTCTAATTAAATTTTATCATGCCTATCGGAATGTCCATTACTAGTATCACCCATTATTCACAATACTCTTTGCGTTAGTGATAAACATGCATGCATGAGACTGTTCCACAAATAGATATCATCCACATTTTGATATAAATAGTTTAAAACACAACATTCTGCGGCATGTAGCTGAAGTGCTACCCATAACACGTTTGTTTTGTGGGTAATTTCTTATCTAACCTAGCTGGAGAGGGATCTTTCACCTTGAGTTACTATACTTCAGTTGTCATGTTAGTCTCCAGTTATTTTTGTCGCTGATGCTAGCTCTAGCACGAACCTCCATGTTCATGACTTCTCTACCTTCGCACGATCCCACAGACATCATAGGCGATCAGCCCGATAGGCTTTGAGTGATACAGAATAGATTTTTGGTTGGAGGAAAGCAAATCACCACACGGAGCACAGAAGCCATAATTTCGACTAGGCCTTTCGTACCATTTCTCTTCAAGTCGAATACAAAGTGCCGGTTATAAGGACTTGCTTGCTACCTTGTTAATCACCATTGTATTCGACTTGACGAAAATATCAACAAAGAATGGATGAACAAGAGCCACAATCTCATAGCATGTGACAAGCCTCCCGCCACGCTGGCGGTTTCAGAGGCAGCTATTGCTGTTTAGTAAATTTTTATAAAATTATATATTTTTTACGGCTTTGTTATGTCATCGTATGTATTTGTGCAGGCGGTAACGCTTTGTGGCCGGATTCCTGAAAAAACTTGAAGAGCAATGGTACGAAAGGCCTAGTCGAAATTATATGGCTTCCGTGCTTCGTGTGCTGGTGTGATACAGAAGTAAAGACAGTTGTTGTAAACCGTGCCAAACCGATAATAGTTGTCTACAGTGTGTGCAAGATTAGACTACTCCGTTAGAGCAACGCCGACTAACTTGCCTCTGTATATTGGTTCATCGAATTCTCTTGGGTTGTGTTCCTGAACATATAAAGCCTTATAACTGGTTTGTTTCGGGCCGCTCCACCAGAAACAAAGTGTCTCTTCCCAAGGCCAAGTCAACGCAATTCACAAGATCGCCATTCTTCCAGGGCTACTGTGCATGGCTACAACTTCCCGAATCAGTGAAGACTTCTGCATCATTGAAAGAATTTAAAGTGAATCTAAGGGCCTGCTGATGACTGAGTGCACCATAATAATAATACTTGCAAGTAAAAACTAATCAATATATATAGCTTTTCGGCTGTTTCCTTTTCATGTATATAATCTTCTCCTTCTTTTACCATGGTTGGCTATCACCCACATCTTCCCGTTTTGGCTGCCATCGGAAGCCATAAGATGTTGAATAAATAAATAAATAGACTTTGTGCAGTACTGGGGCCTCTGTCGATCAAACTGGGTTGCCCCTACTAGGTGCCTGGGGCCGGCTTGATGTACCGATTTGCGGTAGTGTTGGCAAAAGAAGACTTTTTCCTGCATCAACTAATCCTTTCCAATATTCGGAGACTCCAATGCTGCCAATTTTGAAATCATCCGTTTTAAGAGATGATTTTAAAAGGGAAAGCGAAACGAAATCACCACCATTGCCAGCATCACTATGGTGGTCTCACACTACAATTCAATATTAATATCTCCCAATTCTCACCCTGGCCTTGGCTCTGGGGACTTCGGCAAGGAGTGTAGCAAACAAAGTACATATTTGTTCACTCGTCCCTGTTCTCCATAGTACACTGGTACGTCTTGATTGCAGTCAGCGGCGGATGCTTCAGAGCAATGCCCGTCCACTCACCAAAATACTTTGTAAGGTCACCCACGACTCCAACCGCAGCCCTATTCTTCTACTAACCTCTACAACAAGTCAACATCTCTAATGCACTCCACCTACATGTAGAACACCAAAAACAAGCATCCTGCCTTCAATGTACAAGTCAGCTTGACTAAGGGGTCTCTCAACGTGCTCGTTTGTACGTGAAGTGTGTAGGTTACATTGAGGGTTGCGTTCCAGCAGCCGGAGTGGATTTACAGGAAGAGTGAGTTTCGAAGTCTGAAGAAAATGTTGAACGATCGCTACTGGTATTTATTTATTTATTTATTTCACTCAACTCGTGGTTCATGACCAATTGGCACGCAAAGAGCGAGAGAGGGGTGATAGTCAACCACGGCAAGAAAAGAAAAGAAAGGAATATAGAAAAAGAGAAGAAAGAAGGATAGACAAGAATCCAGCAATGAGATCCTATCGTACTACATTATGCGCTCGGAGTGCATTTTTAAAGCTGGAAAGACATTTTGATGTCTTAACATGCTGGGGAAGCTGCAGCCAAAGGCTGTAGGACAAAAACAGAGGAGAGTTGGTAAATGCGGCTGAATTAGCACAGGGAAGTGAGAGACTATTACGAGTGGACCGGGACAGAGAAAACCAATTGAATACGGAGAGATGAATGGGAATTTTACCTAGGCGAATTCTGTGGATCAAAACGCAAAGCTGCTGTTTGCGATTATCTTGCAGTGGCTGAGTATTGCTGATACAATAGAGCTCAAGACTAGGAAATAAACGCTGCTTGTTAAACAATATTTTAAGAAGAGATTTATGTTGGATTTCAAGTTTGTTCACAAGATGTTGACTTAGACTACACCAAGACTGACATGCATACTGGAAAATAGGTAATAGATACGAGCGATAAAACATAGAACGGCATGTATTTGGCAAATGAGAACGATGAGGATATAGTATGCCGAGAACACTACCGGTATGACGAATATGCCTTACCTTCGATTAGTGGTATTGCATAGTTGGCCTTGGGCGAAGGCTCTGATTTGAGTCTTTCTGTACGAGAAGTGAGAGGCACATTTCTTCAGACTTTTTCCCATTTAAACTGCCAAATTGATATTAAGGATATTAAAAACTGGGATGTTGAGCCAAAAGTAATTACCGTACTCGCGCCATTAGAGCCCTCTCTTGAATAGTGCCCCATCCCAAGTAATGCTCCAGTCTATAGAGCCTGTGAAAAATAACGCCCTCTCTTTAATGGTGCCCCCGGGCTTGTAACAAAGCCCATGTGCAAAATTTGGTGTTCTTTTTCTAATGTTCCTGTCCATGTCATTGAACTGGTGGTTTCAGGATCAAGGTCGCTGTTCCTGCTGCCGCTTCTGCTGAGTCGTGATAGTTTACAGCATTTTTTGGTTTACAGTTCGTAGATGTGTTGTAAGTAGGTGTCAATTCGGCTGGACTGCTAATCATAACTACAGTGTAGTAACTTACTAATACTAATAATAATAGTTACAGTTCGCATGTAACTCATGGAAGGACCCACGGTCTTAACGCATCTGTCAATGAAATCCAGGAGGAAGAGCCAACAAAAGGCATCTAAATATTGTTAGAACGTATCGCAGTAAGAACAAGTACGCAAGCGCAGCGCATTTTCCAGAAGCATATCGGAAATGCCAATAGTGTAACTTATAGGTCCTTTCCTCTTAATATGTATATAACAACATACTACACTCACGAGAGAGAGAGAGAGTGAGAGAGACAGAGACAGAGAGAGAGGGAGAGAGAGGGAGAGAGAGAGAGGGAGGGAGGGAGGGAGGGAGGGAGGGAGGGAGGGAGGGAGGGAGAGAGATATAGAGAGATAGATATATAGATAGAGATTGAGAGAAAGACAGAGAGAGATAGATAGAGAGAGATATAGAGAGAGGGAGAGAGAGAAAGAGAAAGAGAAAGAGAGAGAGAAAGAGAGAGAAAGAGAGAGAGAGCGAGCGAGAGGTTGAGAGATAGGGAGGGAGAGGGAGAGGGAGAGAGAGAGAGAGAAAGAAAGAGAGAGGGAGAGATAGAGAGAGAGGGAGAGAGAGGGAGAGAGAGGGAGAGAGAGAGGAAGCTGTGTTGAAAGTCCAAGTTTCACATAGTCAAGAATTACGATGATCAGGCCTCAATACCGAGATACTATAAACAGAAACGAATACTTTAGGGCTTGGAGAATGTTTAACAATGCATATTCGCCAAAAATTGCAAGCCGTTGGCACGCATTTTCTTGAAGTACTACAATCCTGATTGGTTTCAAATTCTGCTTCATTGTCTTCGACCAAAATCTCTTCACGTCTGGGACACTTACATGTGTATCCGCCACGACTAGCCTACTGGGCTACTAGTAGGCAGTACTAGGCTGTTGTAGGTACACCGTCACATAAAGTATGCACTAGCAGCGCGCTAGTGCTAGGCGGATCGAACGATTTGTTATTAAATTTGATTATCGATGTTGTCTTGCCATGAAAGAGTCAATTCTATTCTTTATTGCAATTATGAAATTGCTTTCTCCACACCGACGTTCTTTAATACACTCCTAACCGTTTTCGTTCTTTCAGTCTACCTTTAGCCTTACGAACTTAGAACGTATTGTTGTCCCTCACGCGGACGTGCGACTAGTTGTTGGAGGTGAAAGCGTTGTGAATAGCTATACTGGCTCTCAACGTCTGTTCAGCACAACTCCATGAGCGACTCTGACTCACGCTGCTACCTGGGGCTTCACGAGGTGTTTGTCGCGCTGGAAACAAAGCGTCTCTGTAAGTTTGTATCCCTGGTGATGGTTTGGCCTGGAGAGCAGTATATAAGTGGTGCTTTTCAGGCACAATCTTCCTCAGCCTACTCAAGCTCAACTGATGAGGGGTGAATTCCCCGAAACACTGTGTATTGAGCAGGGAGTGGTGCTTTCTTTCAGGTTTGCCGAGCGGAAGGTGCGACGTGCTCCTCGTGTGCTCCGGATGGCAGTCGTGAGTCAGTCAAGTGTCAAGTTCGGCAAGAAGCGTGTGCTCCTCGTTGGAGCAACCAACTTCCTTTAGCCTTAATTTTGTTTTTTTGTGTGTCGCTCCCTACGTGGGAGCTCGAGCTCTTTCGTCAAAATGTGTGTTTGTGGAAAATATCGGCTTGGGCCAGGTCAAAGGTGGATAATTGTCGGGTGTTAAGACCTACATATGTATTAGATGTTCGGCACTTTGTCATGGTACATTACAAGGCGTTGTGAAATACACACGACCTTTTTCCATGTATGTCCAGCATCCATGCATCTTGAACATACTGATTACAGCGAATGGAGTGTGCAACCTAATACTTATTATAATACTTCGAAGTATCTTGTGTCTTTCCCTCAAACTAGTGAAGTATCTTGTATCTGCGTGCTTATGGATTCGAGGTGGCTTTGGAGGACGTTTCAAGTGAGAGAAAGTCAGGTCCGTCTAAAACAGTAAGTGGCTGCGGAAATGTCATGGCACACATGTATGGCGAGCAGTCAATAGAAACCTCCATCACCTACGACACACTGTGCACATATTGCACTAGTCTGCGATCCAACCTGATAGTTACCTTACAAAATGGCAATACATGTACCACATACAGCATTGGGCATTACGCTCCTTAAACGCCTTACGCAAAGCGAGTATTCGACAGCCTAAAATCCGTACTTGTGATGATTCTGATTACCTTCTGACAACTCTGAAGATCCATTCATTTGGACCACTGCACTACAAGTTCATGTGTATCATTCTTATCCTGGCGTCTTGCAATCAGGAGAGTTGCTGCAAAGGTTTGCGGTGTTGATGGCTAGACCAGGACACACGCGGATGTCAAAGGGACCTACACAACAATTGGGATGCCGATGGCCGGGCTTACTCGCTTCAGTCACAAAGGTACATGTACGTGTACATGTGGATAATAATACCCTCAAGCGAAGGTCCCTGGTTCGAATCCTGGTGGTGACAGCCAAATTCCTTCAGATTTTTCTCTTTTCTATTCCCTTTATGATAACTTAAAAGAATATTAAATATTAGTAGAAACTCATTTGTGATTCTAGGTGAAGGTTTCGTCAACGAAATTCCATATTGCTCTTGTCCATAAGCGACCGACTGATAAGATAAAGGTGGACCCTAAATCTACACACGTATTTACAACTCTCTCCCTTCTCCTTGGGATTCAATGCCAAGCTTTGCAAACTCAAAGATCAAAGACATTGACCATGAACCTGGTGCACACAGTTACATTTCGTAGAACGTGCAGGTTCTCTGCCATAATTGTTTGTGTTCCTCAACATTTCCTAATGGATTTACAATCAATAACTCGGATGTTGAGCCGATAGTATTATGTAAAGAGAAAAGGACCTATACGTTACTAGTTATGACTAACGAAATAATATACAGTCAGAAAGTGCGAGAAGAAGGCACACAAAAGACAAGGATATTGAGACATTCGACGACCTGGTAGACTGATACCTGGTTCCAACACATGTACGAAGCGCAAACCAACAACTTTCAAACTTGGAAGGCTTACATGTAGGTGCGGAAAGTTCCAATGAGGAAGACGAGTTGTAGTTAGACCAGTTTGTCCAATGGTCTTACTAGTCTCGTCATCATCATCCCGTAACGTTTGGCATTCATCGTTGCGGAGGGACATACGTACATGTAGCGCCTGCACATCTTCGTGGCGCATCTCTCTCCCTCATGGAATCCGAGACCCTTGATCGGAGGAGTTACTCCTGCCCCGCTCCCACTTCCATCTTATATACCTCCGCCCCCGCTGTGGAGCATCTGATAGTTCTGTGGTATGTTAAAAGTAAAACAATAAAAGAAAATTATAGCAAACTGCTTTTACGACAGGAATCACATCACTAGTGCAAACACTCGTTCGATGCGGCCGAGTGGAGGTCTGGTTCGTAGCTGGCGTAAAGTAAAAAAGGTGACGTGGGTAAAGTGGGTAAGTGTTCTTTGATTACACCAGCAATTAGTGCACCAGACGTTTGCCTAAGGGAGATACATGTTCCGCGGTTCAGGCATAATTATGTGTTTGATTTTCGCCATGATACACCCGCGACCCACAGCTGACGGCAAAAGGAATACCCATGTATCACCACACATGTGTTACAAAAAGTGCAAAACCGCAGGTGAGTTACGTACTCTCGGTGTTGGTATGCAGTTTGGGTGTATCGACACGTACACGCTCTTCACCCGCGGCAGAAGACAGAACTGAGTATGTTCCGGAGTGTTATATTGTCGTCCAGGCGTACATGTAATGTACAGACACATGTATATGCACAATGGTCAGGGCTGACGTGGAAGCCAGCTGTGTGTGTTACATGCAAGTGGTGGGACAGTGTTTATGTTATTTTGTGGACACCATCAGTCACCGCGGATATCACATCATGCACATGCAATGCAAGTACACATTTAGCAGCTACGAGGAACCTGCTGTCAAAGCTCGGCTGGTGGTAATAAACGTCAAGATTGCGTGGTGAATAACTTGCTACACCCACACATTACTGTGCTTTTACCACTCGCTTTGTTTCCGACCACTTACGCAAACCCAGTATTGGCAACTACCCATCCATCAATAATTGTATCCCTTTATTATGAACCAATTACAGGATCACCCACCTCCATGCGTTTGAACCCCACCTACATGTACATTTAGATTCGAACAAACCATGCTGTCATTGCAACTTTATGGACATTTTCCTGGGAAATGTTCTCCCGTCCCACTCGTTCCGAAATCACGTCCATCCGTATCATCATTTAAAATACTCGAAGTAGTACATGCACATGTACGTTAGTCCAAAACGATTTTTATGCAACGAACAATACCAACAAAACACAATTAATTGCTTTAAAAATACAATGTAGTGCTAGTATCGCGTATGCTCTCTATATAAGCCCTTGCAGAACTGCTACCTAGTCAGTCGCTTGATTTCACTCTAGCTTTCGGTGCTTTCCTGTGTCTCGTTCGTTTATTTTAAGAGAAACCGAAATGTCGATGATGGAAAAGACTCCTCAAGTTGCACGTTTGTACGAAGATCATTCCAGCGTGCAATACGAGCTTGGCCAAGACCTTATAGCATCCCACCTGCGGCCTTTTCCAGGCCAAACCGTCTTGGACTTGGGCTGTGGCACGGGGAGATTGGCAAGAAAAATCGGAAGCGTTGTGGCAAAGCAAGGACGCGTACTGGGCGTCGACCCGAACACTGAGAGGATAGCTGTTGCTACGGAGGAAGAGCGACGTTGTTCCGAATCCCATCAACGTAACTTGACGTTTATACCTGGTCTTGTTCATGATGCTGTGCAACATGGACCGTTTGATGCTGTCTTCTCCAACTTTGCACTTCATTGGGTGCCAAAAGACGACACCGACGCCAGTGTGTCCAGTATCGTCAAATGCCTGAAACCCGGAGGTCGTCTCTGCGCTAATTTGACCCACGACAGTGGTGCCTGTGCCAATGATCTCTCCCTGGTAACTACTGGTCAAACGGAAGAATCTGTCACTGGCATGGACTTTCGGTCTCTACAGTATTGGACGGACAAATTCACTGCGGCCGGTTTACAGATAGAGTACGCTCTGCAGGATGACAATACCACCATGAACTTTCCCAGTGTTCGAGAGTACTTTGACTTCGTCAAGGCCTACACTGAAGGAGCTGTGGATTATCAGAAGCTGAATGCGCGTGAGTTGTCCGATTTCATGGGCAACCATAGCCTCGGTTCATTGGAGTCGAAGTTTGTTTATATTCTATCCGTGCTGACTATCGTTGCTTCAAAGCCTGAGGATCGATAAGTTCTGGATTGCTTGTCTGCAAGTCTGAAACTAAAACTCTGAGTTTCCAAGTCTGGATGCAACCAGGTCCACTGTTCATGAACTTTCCAAGTTTCGATTGCTCTCTTTGTTGACTGTACAACATTCCAAAACCTTTAGCCAACCCCATTGACCAATATGATGCGCATTGACCGTTACACCACTGTTTCGCCTAGGAGAATTTTGACTTGCCGAATGCCGCCACACATCACATGATATACTCAGGCAATGTCACATTTACCCTTCTCATGGCCATATTTGAAGCTCTTCCTATGCACCTTACTAGTCTGATGTGTTTGTAAAGTGAAATACTTTCAAGTAGTAATTGTGTCCGTTCCCGATGGATCAGACATTGCTACCAGGATCTACGACCGTTCGCAGCGGGATTATTCATACCCCCACAGTTCGTCGCCCGCAATTCACAGCGAGATTTTTCGCAGCGGCCAGTATTCACAACAGTGACAAATCACAGTGGGATAGTTTACAGCGAGACAATTCACACCCAGTACAATTCACAGCAGGGACAGTCCCATAATTATGACATTGAAAGCCAAATTGTCAAATATCGTACTGGTCTCGTCATCGTCCAGTAACAATCGACATTCTTTGTTCCGTTGGGACTGTAGCTTTTGCTCGTTTTCGTTGCGCTTGCCTTCCCCTCTTTGGTCTTTCCATAACCTTGAACCTTCCAAGTTGGAAGGCTGTCGGTTAGCTCTACGGAGATGTGTTGAAGCTAGGTGTCAGGACGTCGAATGTTTCAGTACTCTGTCAGTTTTGTGCCTAGTTATTGCACTTTCTGACTGTATAAAGTATCATGTTACAGTGATGGAGAGTTACTCTTAACTCGTATCCATATGTCCTTTTCTCTTCTACATTATTATTATTATTATTATTATTATTATTATTATATATTTGAGGATTTCCCAAAGACATAGTCTAAATTGAAGGGAGTTCCATTACGTTGGGAGGCTGTAGGGTTGAGATAGCAGACAGTGGATGGCTAATAAACAGCCTAGCTAGAAAAAATACATAACAATTTTATGTTTCAGAATGGTCCTTTACTCAATAATGCCTATAGCCTCGGGTTGCGCCTTGAAATACGAAATATACCGAAACAGAAAAATAAACACAAAAAAAGAATCAGCGCAAAGCTCAAAGAAAGAGGACAGAGGCATGTCAGTGAGGATTGGCATTGCGTTTTGTGTCAGAGAAGTGCGTTCAAATGTGACTGCGAAACAAGGACTGCGAGGCTGCGGCTCTCAGGTCTGCGGGCAAGGCATTCCAGACAGTAGCGGTGCGGAAAAGAAATGACCTCCTGGAGATGTGAAATGTCCATGGTTTGAATTGACCCGCTGTGAATCGTACCACTGTGAAAAGTCCACACTGTGAAGTGTCGGGTTGTGAAATGTCGCGCGATCAACTGTCGCGCTGTGAATCGTAGCGCTGTGAAAAGTATCTCAACGAACTGGCGCAACCGTACAATGTAGGGTACATGTAGGTGAATGCTATTGCCTTTGTCCAGTCCATGGTGTATACAATGTAAATATTTGAAGTATATAATATTATCGAGTCCATCCTCTTTGGTGTCAGCTTTCTTTTCTACTATTTGTGGTAAAGTGGCTCTATTTCCCCAACAGTCAACAGTCGAGTTTCACCGACGACTGTAAGTTACATGTACATGTACATGTACATGTACATAGAAGTTCGCAAACGCGATACCCATACTGAGCGGCATTGTACAGTGTACAATCATGGTCATGTCCATGTGCTTGACCCGTGAAGAGAAATCCAAAGTACAGCAAACACGAAAAGGCATGGAGTTACGGCCGTGAAGCGGGGAATTGGGACCAGAGCCCCTTGACTTGTCTGGAAATAGAACCGCAATGATTGTACCCAGGTTGCACGCACTGCCAACCGACAGAAAACAGGTGCCAATGAATAGCAACGCGAAACTTACACTGACCACGAAACATCAGGACGGTCCCTAAGGCTACATGTGCATGTATAATTATGTATATCAAAATTAATACAATGTACATGTAAACTCAATCTGCGGACAGCATGCTGTTTCGTCCTTTGTGGACTCATCAGCGCAGCACAGAGGAAATAAGGCCGAACCTGATAGCAATAAAAAATATATTTTCCAAAGCGAGATTCAAACCAGGCCCTAAAGTACCTTGCTAGAGTGCTCAAACTGACAAGTCAGTCAGCTCTGCATAACGCAAACACCAAAGGCACTACCCCACACAAAAGTGCTCACCAGCTACAAGAGCAGGAGCGAAATAGTCAATCTGCGGACAGAACTGTTTCGTCCTTTGTGGTGGAAGTACCTCGCCAGAGTGCTCAAACTGACAAGTCAGTCAGCTCTGCATAACGCAAACAGCAAAGGCACTACCCCACACAAGAGTGCTCAACAGCTACAAGAGCAGGAGCGAAATAGTCAATCTGCGGACAGAACTGTTTCGTCCTTTGTGGACTCATCAGCGCAGCACAGAGGAAAATAGGGCGAACCTGATAGCAATGAAAATATATTTCCAAAGCCAGATTTAAAACCAGGCCCGAACGTACCTACATTGTAAATCCTTGCCAGAGTGCTCAAACTGACAAGTCAGTGGGCTCTGCATAACGCAAACAGCAAAGGTACATGACTGTACATAATATTATTTTGTGTGGGACAGGCTAAACCTCGATGTACATGTACATGACTGTACAATCGTTCTGTACATGTACATGCATGACTTACACACAAGTCATTATTTCATTGGAGACAAGAATATGATTACAATGTATACTTGCGCGAAGTGCACGGTCCGGCTCTCCGCCTTCTCCGTGAAATAATAATATATACAGCGTTGAAGGTTCTGCGTTCCGGCTCCCCGCTTTCTCCGCGAACAAAAGAAAACTAGAGGAAACCAAACAAACATTAGGAACAAGACTGATGGGCACCGGCGGATTATTCCGGCAGAAATGTTGGCAGAATTCGGTACTTTTTCTGGTCAGTTTCATGCATGTTTGGTATGTGGATAAAGAAATGGACCGTATGCGTGTTAAAACAAAATGGCGTCACGATTTATTGAAAGTGGTATTGTTGGTGGTACGAGTGTTCAAACCCATTTGAACTTCATACTGTTCGTCTTCTTTTTGACATGCTCTCTTTCCATCGTCCTTAGCTTTTGTTTGTTGAGAGCTGTTTTGGCTTTCTCCTATACCTCTGGGGGATGCCAAGTGATGGTTTTGAGAGGCTGGTGATGGCTGTGAGCGAGAGTTTGCCGATCGGCGTCGTCCTCGCTATAGCGATGAAAATACTAGTTACTGCGCACCTGGCAGATATCACAACACGTCGGAGCGTCCAGGAGCAAAGGAATCTTGGGTTTTCACTGGAATCTAGTTCCTCCAGCATCGTGTAGCCCACCGTCGGTGAATGGCCGTCTAGAAAGGTCGAACCTGGTCTTCTGCAGCATCTCGCAGTCCTGCGAGGCATACTGAATACGCCTGTCATGTATCCTACAAATAAAAATCACGAAGTAGTGGACTTTATAGTGATGAGTCTATCCTGTATGCTGCAAAAGACGCAGGAAATGTGACTGGTGTCCGTACACTGGACGCCAATATCATCCCAGTCTTTTCCTGCAGGATCTGTTTGACATTGACATACCAGTATGCAGTGGGTCGACATTGGCCTGGTTTGGCAGCTATCTGCCTGGGTGGATGTAGCAGGTTTGCATTGGCGCGTCGTCCAGTCCGACATTTTCTTGTAACTGTGGAGTACCGGCAGGGTTTGAGAGGTTGCTCGTGCTGTGAACACATCTCTACTGCCTGTCTCGTCCTGGAAGTGCCGTCTCGCCGCTTCCTTGCTCTACAGTCACGCCGTTATTTCGCTTTGTTTCGTGTTGCAGCTCAAAACCTGCCCTAACAACTGTGAGCTCGCAACATGGTATGGACAAATTGCACCACTCATGCTGGTTAACTAAAACCGGGATAGTCGAGTAAGCGAGTTCACTCCCTGGGCCATGGTAAGATCTGTTCAGCGCGGGCTATTCCAACCTCCAAGTGCATAGTCACTGATCGATCCATGCGATGGTGGTTGACCTACAAAGAGCCAAGGTCTACGAGTACTACTATTGGATGCTGTCTACATGCAGTCAACAAAATCAAAGTACCTCAGTATGCCCCAGAATAGGGCATGTGCATCTATAGCATGACACAACAGGGGTTCTGGCGGCACCTGTCAAACAAGCAGTAGCGACTAGTGCCAGCTACCTATTGGAGGCTAGCCGCTACAGTCTGTCACTGGAGATAATTATTATGTTCACTGTTTAGACTGAGCACAATCTGTAACAGGTTTAATCAAACTTGAAAAGTAAGAGGCCTGGTTGAGCGTGCCTCGACCAGTTATATGCAAAATGTGATAGTATACATGTGGCAATGGCGCCAATGAAGGTGCTAATAGACAGGCGTAAGACGCACGAGGTGCGAGGGAGTGTAAAGTTATAGAGAACAGGGGAAAACTGTTACATCATCCCCCTCCTATGGAGAGGAAGGAGCTTATAACCCAAATGCTCAAGTGGAATAGAGTACAATAAGCGCAAACACGTGCGAGACGAAAAAAGGCTTCGCACTGAAGTAACACAATAAGACGACTGAAACTCCATGCAAATAAAGTGTAATAAGCTCAACAAATGTGTAAGGTGAAACTAGAAGTTCAACTGCAAAACTCAGCGGGCAGAAGCCAAGGTTTTGTACTTCTGAAGTGGAACAATGTCATTACCAGATTCATCCAACAAATAATGTTCAGGCTCCCAAGTGGCATCAGAGTAGCCTTGCCACTTGACTAGGTACTGAAGCTGATTCTGCCGACGGCGGTGACTGAGAATGTTCTCCACCACATAGCGGGCATGACCATCAAGGTCCGTGATAGGCGGAGGCGTAGGCTGTCTCCTATTAGGAATAGCGTTCTTCTCGTAGGCACGGAGTGCCGACAC